GTTTCCCTTTGGTTAGAAATGGTTTTTTTTTGTTTTTTTATTATGCACCCCTTGATGAAGAAAGTAACTTCCTGTATTCCAGTCCCAGTGCAGTCTCCTCGTTGCAGTCTGATCCGTCCACAATGACAAAATTCTGATAATCTCCATTCCTGTCAGATGCTTCGACACACGGTGCATATATGTAAATTGTTGAGATCTTCCAAGCCAATGCTTCTCATAGAGAAGTACCATTAGCATGTTACGCTGTGTATAATGGCACCAAAAGGTCTTAAGGATGAAGCATCTCTAGTGGCTGTCTGTCTGAGAGCCATTAGAAGCATGTTTCCAGCCTAATGTAAAAAATGCTTTACATTGTCTGGGAAAAAGGACAGAATACAGGTATATGCACAATAACCGCTACGTCAAATTGTAATGTTGTTGAGTGTTCCTTTAAATGTCAAGTAAGACTTGTAGCTTAAAGGGGAGCTGTCATTTACCATCATTTTTATATCATGCTTACTTATCCCTATATTCAGAAAATATGTGTTTCTGAAGTGTGAAAAATAAAATTCCATGTTGAATTCAACACCTCTTTAACCTGTAACCGGGTGCCTCCATCTTAGCTCCTTGTCATTCGTTGTTATACACTTTAACCGTCACTCTTGACAGAAAACATGCAGACTAGAGAAGAAATTAAACAGTGTTTCTATTAATTTTCTTTCTTTGTAGTGTTTGCCCTGGCTTTGCCTGGTCTGACCTGGATTGTGATGTCATTTGTTTCATCTTTCATGTAAATTTTAAAAGAAAACAGAGCATCTCATAAGAAAGGTTAATATGGGCTATATATGATTTTCAATGTTATATACAATGGTGAACATTTCAGAGAAGTGACAGTTCTCCTTTAAACATGACTATCTCTAACAGCACAGAGGAGTTATTAAAGGGACACTCCAGACCCCTAAAGCACTTTAGCTTGATGAAAAGCTTTCTGTGTGAAGTGTCTGCCTTCTTTTTACATTTTGTAAAAATCAAACACACATTTCAATAGAAATTGACACTTTCATAAATTAACCTGGTTACACCCCCTTGGCTTTCAAACTAACAATTAGTCCTGTTACTTCCTGGTTGTTTAGCTCAGTGGAGCTAAACTCAAGAGGCAGGCAATTGAACAGTGCACCTGCCTTGCACACACTTCTCATTGAGCTGCATTGGGAAGTCTGTAATTGGACAGCCATAGAAAGACTGGGCAGGGTTAGAAGGGGAGGATTTCCAAAGGATGCAGACAAGAGAACTGCAGGTTTTGCAAACTATTTTTAGATTAACCCCCAACAAAAAAAATACATAATTAAATGCAGGCCAGTTTTCATTTGGGGTATATCTACTAAACAGTGATTTTTATTTATTTTTGTATTTGGGCAGTGGAGTGTTCCTTTAACCCCTTAATGGCCAAACTTCTGGAATAAAAGGGAATCATGACATGTCACACATATCATGTGTCATTAAGGGGTTAAATACTCTCAAAATAGTACCAGAAAATCCCTTTAAAGCAGTTTGCGATATTCTTCATACAAACTTTAGACAACCTCTGTCACCGTAGCTTTATTATAGTACAGTTCAGTTATCCTTTGGCCCACAGGAGTCAGAGAAGCACAGAGTGCATGCTGCTCTTTGATACATTGATGCATGATCTACAGGAATCCCTTCCTCATTTAGCAGTCTTAAGTGTTCTGCACCATAACCTTTATTACTCAACTCTCCTGTCAAATAGTGAACAGAATCTAAACACTGGTGAGATAATGATAAACATTTCAGAGTGATTGGTAATATTTCTCCTCGTATGGAAATAGTACTTGGGTCATGGTGGGTCTGACCATTATTTTTAACCGAGGCGCCGCCGTAGGTCTTAGTGATGATGACCAGAAGACATGCATGTCATTTTTAAAACTTATCAAACAGGATGTCTGTATCTCGTCAGCCTTCTCAGTCTCCTCAACTTCAAAATGCAGGTCTGCTGTAAAAAAATAGTCCCAATATCACTGATTATTTTTAGGTTGTAACAAGTTAAGCTTTTTGCTACAGTGGCAGTATATACACACAGACAAATTTAGCAACAGTTCGTGTGAAACTTGTGGAGTAATTCATTTACATATATATAATTTATTTGTTATTGAAAAATAATGTCACTGCTGATTCAAGTCAGATATGTCTGGATTTAAGGTAAGTGTACCTCTCATGCAACGTTTATCTAACTTTATACAGGGTTATTCACTTAAGTGAGAATTCAAAATGAATTAAAAATTTTAGACCCAAATAGCCAAACTGGGATAAAATTCTCTAATTAAGCCGTGCTTTCCGTTCAACTGCTTTGGCCTTAAATTTGAAATTCAATTCTCGCTTTAGTGAATAATCCTGTTAGAGTATAGCATTTAAGTTTTGCTAGCAAATAGTAAAGTCGAAAGTGGCACTGTCACTGTCTTCATAACTTAATAACCGCTGTGGTCTGGTGAACAAGGGGGGAGTGGGGGAGGGGGAGTTAGGTGAGTCTTACTTACCCGAACTTATCCCTCGAAGACACAGCCATACTCTTCTGTAGGGCATCTTCTGCTCCTGGCGCTTCAGCTGCTAGTAACCAGCGTCAGTGCTGTACTTTCGCGCATATGTGAGAATACAGCAGAAACTTCTATGGAGGATCTCGCAGGACTGCAGGATTCACCACAGGTAGAGCCAATTTCCAGGGTGACGGCTGGGGTATTGACACTTCTAGGCTGCGTTATTTCCACTTAGTGTAAGTGTCAGGTGCATACCCTACTTTGTCTCGGTATATCCTTTGACTAGGTTCGAATTTTTATCCTAGCAACCTACTTTTCTACCCTACCGTTACCTTTTGTGTCACTATACCCCACTCCCTCTAGCATGTAAGCTCATTGAGCAGGGCCCTCAATCCCTCTGTTCCTGTGCGTCCAACAAATCCCTCTGTTCCTGTGCGTCCACTTTAAAGAGGCTCAATTTCTTTATCTGTATTTTTTGCAAACCTCCCTCCACCAGGCCCATTAAATGGTTTGAGGGGCAGGGGGGAAAGGGCGGGAGATATACACACTTGCAGCTTTCTGTCATTGGTGTTGCCATCTTCGTTTGGAAGCTACGTTATATTTATTGCTGTTGTATAAGCTATGTTATATTTATGTGCAAGAGAAAAAAACTATTTTTTGAAGGTGCTGGAGGATCACAAGATGCTCTACACTCATGGATGCATAATAAGATCTGCTGCTCATATAGGCCTCTGTTTAATATTGTTGGATAAGCATGGGAATTTTTTTAATTTTTTGAATACATTTTTTAAATGATTTAATTTCATGAAAAATATTGTAATTTTGTAATATTTGGATTTTTAAAAACTTTATTGATATATCTTTTAATCTATTTCTATCTATTATACATATTATTTTACTTTAATAGGTTAAAAAAAATCATTTCTGAAGTTTATCCAAAAGTATTGAATCAATTGGAAAGCCTATCCAACAATAATTAAATTGAGGCCATAATAAGAGGAATAATGGCTGACGGGAAAGTTCAAAAATTGGGGTCTTGGCCTGCTGTCATGGATTTGATCCCTGTCTCTCGGGACACCTGGTAAATGTCCCCAGAAAGGGCAGAGTGAGCACAGAGTATTCTAAGGGCATTTAACCAATGGACAGAAGATTTCAAAAGGACTCGGCATATAAGTAGCTCCGAATAGGGCCAACCAGAACATCTGTCAGCCAACGTAGTATATATGCATGCCAGGCTGACATGCCCCCACATTTTGAACAGTCTGCCCCCTTGTGGCCTGCCCACCAACTGTCCCACATCCATACATCCCACTCTTTGGTGTTACATAAGTAGAATTCAGACATTTGTCATTTAATGAGAATCTAACATCAGCAACCAGAAAAAAAAAATGTAACTAAATACAAAATGAACTCTTTAGCGCATCAATTTCTCATTCAATTTGCTAAAGCAAGGACCTATTTTATGGGGCCTAAAGTGAGCAATAACTTTGTATCCCTGATAAATGGCCTAACGAGTGTTCTAGTTATGGCCTAATGAGTGTTCTAGTTATGTCCTAATGAGTGTTCTAGTTATGGCCTAATGACTGTTCTAGGTATGGCCTCATGAGTGTTCTAGTTATGGCCTAATGATTGTTCTAGTTATGGCTTTATAATTGTTCTAGTTCTGGCCTAATGAGTGTCAAGGCCTAATGATTGTTCTAGTTATGGCCTCGTGAGTGTTCTAATTATGGCCTAATGAGTGTTCTAGTTATGGCCTTATAATTGTTCTAGTTAAGGTCCAATGAGTGTTCTAGTTATGACCCAGTGAGTATTCTAGTTATGGCATAATGATTGTTCTAGTTATGGCCTAATGAGTGTTCTAGTTATGGCGTTATCATTTTTCTAGTTATGGCCTAATGGTTGTTCTAGTTAGGGCCTCATGAGTGTTCTAGTTATGGCCTAAGGAGTGTTCTAGTTATGGCCTAATGATTGTTCTAGTTATGGCCTTGTGAGTGTTCTAGTTATGGCCTTGTGAGTGT